TATCTTTATTTCATAAAAAAATTAAACGTCTTTTATTCTTTTATGTAGACTCTAAAGTCGTAGACAACACACACACATTAGCAACAATTTCTGTTTAGTCAAATAGAAAAATAAATTTAATAAAAATTACACTTAAACAAAATCTATGTTGGTATCATAGATTTTGTTTAAGTTTAGTTCACGTTCAGTTAATTCATGTTAAAAAAAGACATTTATTTATAGTTAAATACAAAATAAAAAGAATTCATATGATCACGAAATCGCAAAAACTCAATCCTTTTGTTACAAATAAGAAGAAACAAATTATATTGAGGTGTACACTTGAATTCCGTGAGTGAACCTCGCTGTAAAGGCTACCCAAAGCACCATTCTACTCGGACAATTTATATTTGGGTTAGACCGTTAGTGAACCTTTATTTGAGGCAGGAATAAAATTATTCAGTCTCTCATTTGAATTAGGTTTGTTGAGTTGTTTTATTTATGTTTCAATCACTGTTACGAGTAATACATTTTGTACCCGTATTAGATTTAGGCACTAATAATCTACTCTGTTATATACCTAATTATTGTAATAGCCAAATGCTGACTGCATTGGAAATGTAACTCATTTTAGGATTTTGAGTTGTACAATTACTTAGTTTTGTGATGGTTTTTTATTTTTATTTATTTAAAACTTAATGCACATGTTGTACAAAGTCTACTATTTCCTTCCCCCGATTCTGGGGTGAGAGAAGGGGGCTCCAAGGCTGCAATGCACTTTTGACTCACGAGTTACAGGTGCCTATGGGCGGCTGTAATCATTAGAAACCGTGGTAAGCTATTGGATAAAAATGAGAGACAAAGATAAAGAATTTGAAGTGGTATAAAATGTTTTAGTAAGTTCACGTCAGAATGTACCTACGTATTCTAGAAAACTCTTATTCACGATGAGCCTTTATTTTATTTACAAATGTAATGCTCTAATATTAATCGAGTTAACGTCGTTGTGTATGTGTAAAACACATATTAAAAACATTGTGTAGGATACACAAAGAAAGGAAATTTTATTAAATTAACCATTTACCTGGTAAATTCCATTCATCGCAATCCAGGCTGGGTACTTTAATAGACACATTATTACAAAATGCCTTTGCAATGTCTTTTATCGGATACCGTAGCGATAGTCGTAACAGAGATAGCAATCTCAATAGCAAAAACGGTTGTTTTATGTTTTAGATAGTTTTAACTGATAGTATTAAATGTAGAAAAATAATGATAGTCATCATACTTCGCGTATTCATCGCAAATAGTCCTACTGGCAAAATTATTAAAAATAATATTTTCGAACATCAGACACACAACGCCATCTCGTTTCAAACTAAGCAGAGCTTATTTAAGCTTTCAGTTAAACTGAAAGTATGTATGTATGTAATATGTATGTATTTACAAAAAAAGTATAATACTTTCTTTGTAAATACATACATATTATACATAGAAAATACACAAAATATTTTCAGATCATCCAAAAATATGTTCCGAGCTGGGAATCGAACCCGAGACCTCAGCACAGCTCCACGGAGAATAGAAAAGAGGACAAAGGAATTTAATATTTTTATACATATACCTACTAAAAAATGATGAACAGGACTCCCTGTTTGTAGATTCAGCCAGAATTATCCTGACTTAGCACAGACATTTTTCGTTTTGTTTCATGTAATTGGAACAAATTTTGCCAGAGACTTTAAGACGTACAATTTAAATTTACAGTATTAATTAACTGGTACAGTATTGAAACTATTTGTATTAAAATCGAAAGTGTGTTTGTTTGTGGGAAAAAAGTTCTCCAGGAATAGTAATCTCTGGAGAATTTTGTGATTGGAATGATGAAATCTACAGTAAGCTAAGTGACGCTAAAAATATCAGTTCTAAGTAACTTGTTACTTAGAACTGATGTCTTTAATATCATAATAAGTTTACTCCATTACAATCCTGTATTATATATGTCTCTTGATACCCTCTTTAAAACATGCTTTCAAAAAATGGTAAAAATGGTTAGAATAATAATTCTTATAGCCTCGTTTATTTTTAATTTAAGCAATGTATTTATTTAAACGATCGGGCATAACAATCGTTCGTGAATATTACCGTCCTGACTTCTTATTAAGCCTTGTCAGTGAGCGATTAAAATGAGAGATTACTCTGTTCCATTTGCGATAGCATCACCATTAGTCAACGTCGACACCCGTGTACTAATGTATATTAGTGAAAATGATAACGATTTCTCAAAAATACAAACAGAACAGAGTAATAGCGGCAAAAAGAAAAGAGAAAACAAATTGAAGATAGAACTTGGAAAGTTGATCTTAATAGCTTTATCCGGATACGGTGTGGATGAAACCACAAGACTGGGATAATGTTCTTTGATTGAATATAATGTCGACAACATTTATTGAGAAATTACAGAACGTACTAACTAGAGCTCTGTTCGCAGAAGAGACTGAGGAGAAAGTTCAAAAGTTTAATTAATAAAAGACTAATAAAGATATAGCTATACCCGAAATAATAACTCTAATCCATTAACACTAAAACTTAACTCACAAAACTTGGTTAATCTGTGAATAAAGACTCAAGAAAAAGATTAAACAATAACATTGCAATACCTCTTAACTAAAATTTTTACATCGCGACGTGCTTTATTTAATTTTCATTTATTTTAAGAGACAACTGCCGCATTAGGAATGTATGCTGTGTCGCGGGGGACTTTACAAACATACATGAAACGGACACAAAGAACACCCAGACTCACAACAACAATTTATGGATCACACAAAGTGTCGTCCCATGTGGGGATCGGACCCACAACACTCGGCGTAGTACTAAGCGGCGTGGCAACTGCTTAAACCACTACGCCATCCGTGCAGTCAGTAATGTTACTCGACGTTGCGTGTCTCGCAACGTCTGGGTTTAATGAATAGTCTTGCAAAGCAAAACTGTATTCTTGTTGGTGTAGCAGCGAATACTTAAGACTTAACTTAATTATATCGCTGTAATTACAATGTTTATTTAAACTTTGTACAAAATATTTCGATAACAGAAATAAATTAGTCTAAATTTCTGTTTAAGAGTTTTACGCAATTGACATTTTTAGTTGTTACAATTGAGTTTTACTCCATGTGGCGCATTTCACAGACTTTGGCAAATTCATGTACGTTAACAAATCTCCTGAGAAATTTATTATTATGGTAATAAGCATTATGCTTTTGAAAAACCTGTATGTATTTCCTATTAATTAATCTTTTTACCGGTATATTGGGCCTAGGGCAAAATGGTATGATCACAAAATCAACAATTACACAAGGAAATACACGAACAAAGAGAGAATAAGTGATTTTAGAAGTCCCAATAAAATACTGATCGGTATGCTGTGATACCAATAACGAATGCCCATGTTATGCCCGAAAATAAACACGCATCTCACACGCAACCATCTGAGGCTAAATTAGGCAAAGCCTATGTAATGACAACCGGACTGCTGATAAACATACTTAATATTTCAAAATATATTCTTATGTAAATTACACCCGGACGGTCTTATGAAACGAATGATCGTGCTCACCACACAATCATTGTCCATGAATTCATTTGAAATGGTCTTAACTTAACTCAAATATATCATAGATATAAATATATTTTTTTTATGTTAGGGGGGCAGACGGGTCACCTGATGGAAAGTGACCATCGCCATCTGCAACTCAGGAGGCCTTTTAGGAAAGAGCACGCTCTTTTCTGGAGGGTTTGAAGGCCGTATCGGTCCGGAAATAATGCAGACGATAGCCCATCTTTTTAATTTTTTGGAAGGCAAATGTATTAAGAGTCTAAAGTTAATTCTTTTTCTTTACTAATACAAGTTGCAATGTAATGCAAGTTGCAAAAAAGTATGAAGTTCTTAACCAGCTATATGTAAGACATGTTCAAGTATAGACTGGTACGTTTTCACGAAGACGTGACCGGCAAAACCGTGGTGGCCAAGTTGCATAAATGACGTCACTTTGGCAATTCACAAAATTCGTGACCAATCTGCGCAATTCAAGGCACGTGATCTAGTTTCGATTTCGAAAAGTACTTTTGGTAGATATTAAATAGCCATAATTATTGGTGCATTTCTTATTATATACCTCACACATTATATAATTATAAGTATATTCTTATACCACTGGATGGCGTCTGGTGACCTTCAAGTATATACTGTACCACTTTATCATTACGTGAGTTATCATAGCTATGTCATATACCCACGGCAACACCTACCTTCTGTATATAGCTTATCTTTTTGGGAACTGAGAAATTACTTGCTCAGGCGGCCTACAATGGTTAAGTTTTCATTCAAGCAGAAATAGAGTCCCTTTTACCAATTTTTCATGAAATTGTTGAGTAAGTTTCCACTAGGTCTTACCTAAGGTTTCGCTCGCGAAAAATATCTTTATTTAACCTTCGTCCTTTTTGTATCCCTGGCAATCGGTTAAGCGATAAAATACTAATAATCAAACATTGGTTTTCATTATATATCATACAAACTGAGGAATAATTTGACTGCACGGATGGCGTAGTGGTTTAAGCGGTCACCTCGCCACTACCTTTTGCACTGAGTATTGTAGGTTCGATCCCCACATGGGATAACACTTTGTGTGATCCACAAATTTTTGTTCTGAGTCTGGTTGTTCTTTGTGCCCGTTCATGTTTCATGTGTGTGTGTAAAGTCCCCCTCGACACAGGATATATTCATAGTGCGGGAGTTGTCAAAAAAAAACTTTAGATAGATTATTATTATTTAGATAAAGACTTGAGTTTTCATACTAACCTCGTGACCGCCTGCGTACTACACATAGAACGTAAAAGAAAAAAAATCTGCACGTTTTATATGAGTTTTTGATTGGAAAAGTAACACGTAGCAACATTTATTAATTTGTTAGGAAAGTAAACATAAATCATCTGACACGTTGATAGCTGTTTTTTTTTGCAAAATGGCACCGAGCAACAGAAGTGTAAACGTGCGCTTGAGCAGAGGTAAGCTTAATCCCGATTTTACGCAATTTTTATCAATTTTATCAAAAAATTTGCATTAATTGCTAGATAAACTAGTAAAATACAAATTGCAATTTTTTTTTTGAAATAGAGGAAAACCGCGCATGTCGTGACACGTCACGTTTTATGTCCTCTGGGTAGAACATATTCAGCTATTGAGATAAGGGCAGGCAATTTAACGTCCCATATGTAGAACATTGTCAGATATCAATGGTGTATTATTTTTTTCTTTATTCAGAAATAAATGATGAAAATATATTGGACGCCCTGCAAAACTCTGATATTGACTATGATTCTGATGTATCTGATAATGACCCAAATTATCAGCCTCAGGTTGACAATCGCAACAGAACATTTAACAGAAACAGTACTTCAGTCAGCTCATCCGATGACGATCCTCCTTCACCTGAAGTTGCTCCTTCGCCTGTTTTGTCAGCGAGCTCCATGAGAGCTACATTGCGTGTTCGAAGAGGTCGACCTGACAGGGGAGTCCGACGTGGATTACGGATACGAGCAATGACATCAAGTTCACGCGATGGAATACAAAATCAATGGGCAGGTACTACTTTTGATCCAGAAGTAAGGGAGCTTCAACAACCCACATTTATACCCAAAAAACTGCGAAGGGTAGCAGAATTTGACGTATGCCGAACAGTACATTGATGACCAGATTTTAGACATTATTGTTGTATCTACAAATAGAACAGAAGTTGGACGCACAGAAAAAACATTGCGTCTTACTAGGAAGGAGCTGAAGGTATATTTGGGGATAGTAATGATAATGTCGGCTTTACAATATCCAAAAATTGATATGAAAATTGAATGCAATGATAGAGAGTCCCGGTTGTAGCAAATGCTATGAGCCGATTACGCTTTTATGCTACAAGAACTAGAATAAAATGTGTTTATGATGAAGATATTAGCGAAGAAGACAAAGAAAGTTAAAATTTGGAAAATTCGTCCACTTTTTGAACGCAGTTTACGAGTTTGCTTAGAACAAGATCATCTTCAAGATATGTGCGTAAATTAAATGATTATTCCATTTTCTGGACAATGTCATATGCGGCAGTACTGCCCTAATAAACCGAACCCGCTAAGGTTAAAAGTGTTTGTACTAGCTACTCCAGATGGATTTGTTTGCGACATGATTATGTACCAAGGAGATGCTACTGTTCCATACTTGATAGGTCAAGGATTTGGTCTAGGCGAAGCAATGGTTTTATACCTCACACGTTCTCTATTACCTGGACATCGATTGTACTTTGACCATTATTTTACCAGCGTAAAACTGTGTGAAGAACTCCTGAATTAAGGTATTTATGGAACTGGCACTATTAAAAGGAACAAAATTCCAAAAGACTGCGTTTTTACGGATGAAAAAGAATTTAAAAAAAAACCTCGAATTTATTTTTGACTGAAAATGTTACAACTCTATCATAAACAAAGTTTATGTCTGTTGTTTTTGATACAAAATTTTAATTTTTAGGACAATTTTGTACTTTTAAGAGTATTTTTTAGAAATAGATGAGACTGCTATTATAGTAATTAAAATGTTTTATCTTTCCCTTGAAAATTAAATAAGTTTTAATTGAATAATTTACATAAATAAATTAATATTCTTGTATGTTCTATGTGTAGTACAACCCAATTGTAATTAATTTGTCCTATGCAAAGAACGTAGTGAAAATCCAAAATTTTCACGTTGGATTTTTTTATCTCTAATTTTCTATGTATTCTTGGACTCTAAGTAGAAAACAGTAAAATTTTTGTAAACAAATTCCATAAATTCAACTTTCTGTAGTCAGGAGGCTAAAGAATGAAACTCCTTCTTCGTACCTCTTTAACCGCATTGCAGTCGATAGCCATAGACCTGACACGAGGCAAGATTAATATACGAGTACTATAAAGGCTTGAAACGTCCTCGATAATTGCATAATAACACTTTAAACCCGAGTTTAACGCCTTATCGAATAGAATCTAATTCTGAATAATTTCTTTTCTGCACGTGAACTTTTAGCAGTTTCGCTTTAGATTATATTGGAAATAAAATATTATTGCTAAAACTTGAATTGCCTACAAAAAGGAACTAGGCTTGTTTTTCGTCTAGATATTTACATTACGTATCAGTGAACTTGTATAAAATATCTTGAAGTGGATGGCGTAGTGGTTTGTGTAACGGAATGCTACGCTAAAGGTCGCAGGTTCGATTCCCGCTCAAGTCAAACATTTACGTGCACGAACATTTAATGTTTGATTTAGTCTGGGTATAATATGTATGTATCCACGAAAAATTATAAATGTATTTATATCTGTTGTCTAGTACCCATAGTATATGTTCAGTTAGGTACTAAATGGCGTTTTGTGGTTTGGATTTTTATTATTCCCCTTGTTATTATTGCTATCAAGATAGTAAATACAATTAAATTGGAAACAAGTTTTGTAATTAAAATCTGTGTTTCATTAATCGAGAATTGGATTTTATTCGTTTTATACTTTAATTGCTATTATGTTAACTGATAATGATGTTGTACCCTGAAGCTGTAGCGTAGAATAAACGTGATATCTTATATTAAAACCATTATTTGTATTTATAATAATAATAAGGGTAATTTTAGCAACACTGAAAACAGTCGACATTTCTTTTACATATTTTCGAAACAAATAGATTTTACAACAATTTACAATATCGTAAAATAAGCTAAACAAATTAAAGAACAATAAAATGGATGCTTTATATAAAAATATCATAAAAAATGCTTAAAATAGATAAACCAATAAACCCTTTTAAAAAAAAAAGTTGAACCGACTTCAAAAAACACCGACAAAGAGCACTAAAAATTAAAAAATAATTACAAATCTAAGTAAAAAACTATAATAAGTACCCTCAATGTAACAGGTAACATTATAATACCAATAGTCCCTTCTAGTCAGTTTGAAGTCGGTGCCAAGCTCGATGTACAATAAGTAATAGTGGTCTATGTGGTCGCAAAACATGATGAACGAGCTAAAGTGGACGCACATCTCCAATTATATTATTATTTTGAATTCTTTAATAAGTAGTTGATAAGTTTGCGCACGTAATTGATCTGGTTGGTCTTTATTAATTAACAAAATCTTCGATGTTTCATTAGAATTATTTTGAATTCTTAATTTTTCATTGTGCTAATATAAAGCTGACATAGACCACTATTACTTATTGTACATCGAGCTTGGCACCGACTTCAAACAGACTAGAAGGGACTATTCGTATTATAATGTTACCTGTTACATTGAGGGTACTTATAATAGTTTTTTACTTAGATTTGTAATTATTTTTTAATTTTTAGTGCTCTTTGTCGGTGTTTTTTGAAGTCGGTTCAACTTTTTTTTTTAAAAGGGTTTATTTTACCATTTTTAGTGTAGGATATGAAAATGACATTGGCGTCCAAACTGATCAAGATCAGCTTAAATTCTTTTCTAAGAAACAGTCAAATTCTTGTGAGTTGCAATCGAACAAAATAACTTCCGATTCAATTGACACTGATCTCGAAGGTGAAGATAGGGAAGCTTTAGTGAGACTACTCAACAAATATGCTCAATATTTTATAGAAGGAGTTCCAACTAGAAGGGTTAATACTAGTATGTTAGAAATTAACCTAGTTGACCCACCCAAAATTTAAGAGTTTTTTCCAGAACTATTTTAATAAATTAAGTATAAAATTACTTACAAACGAAATGCGATGCCATCCATAGCAACAAAACGTCTATCCGAATTATTTTAACAAGATAGAATACAAAATTTCAACCTTTTCTTCTTAATACAACGAAAATTACTGTGGTGGCATAAATACTGCAAGTTCTCTGCGCATCACATCGCGCAGTCTCTGACAGTTGCCATGGTTTGTTTGGCTAAAGAAATACTCGTAGCTAAAACACGTTGTCGGGGCTGTCAAATTCCCAATAATTGTGAGGGTTTCACTCGATTTCTCTAGGATCCCATTATCAGATCCTGAATTGGTGGTAATGGGACCAATTCGGGAGCATACCCTTTCGATTACAAAAAGAATTTTGAAAATCGGTCCATAATTGACGAAGAAATCGCGTAACAAAAATACATAAAAAAAAATACAGACGAATTGAGAACCTCCTCTTTTGTGTTTTGGAAGTCGGTTAAAAAGAAAACATACTGTCGAATCAAAAACCCTCCTGTTTTGATGTTGGTTAAAAATCGACTAGCATGAAGCTCCTAGTCGAGACGAATCAAATGAGCACAAACACGGCGGAATTGCTTTATTTTATTACAGAGTTCCCATGGCTATTTACCGTCTCCATCATCAGACCCTGAATATCACATAGGATCGGAGTTCTTATTAATTAGACTCAAACACATTCAAATTCGATGGTATTACATAATTTTGTTACAGAGATCCCATACTCCTAAACCATTCATCAACAGCTTCATCATCAGCTCAGCAACATCAGATGGTGACCATTAGATGCAAAAATCTACATAGATTAAGATAATTTCTGATAAACAGTGTATATGCCTACAAAATTTGAGGGTTTCCCTCGATTTCCCCAGGATCCCATCATCAGATCCTGACCTGGTGACAATGGGACCACGTCTGACGTATGACCTACCAAATAAAAAAAGAATTATTCAAATCGGTTTATAATTGCCGGAGTAATCGCGTAACAAATATACAAAAAAAAAAAAAAAAAAAAAAAATACAGTCGAATTGAGAACCTCCTCCTTTTTTGAAGTCGGTTAAAAATAAATAAAGTATATGCATATAGACATGACGTCTAACGTCATGTCAAAATACATGAAAGTATTTTTCCACCCAAGAAAGACTGTAGAATGATAACAAGAGCTAGGTCGAAAGCACAATTAACATCCCCGGACTCGTCGCTCCGCTCCGTCTTGCCGTCCACGGAAACCACAACAGAAGCTCCGGCCGTGGCTGAGGCGTCGAGCTCGACTTCAAGTGACGAGTTTTTCTCTCCGCCGACGTCGCCAACACCTGTACGTCGGCAGGGGAGAGGCCGGCCACCGATCTGCTTAGTATCCCGAGGACCATTGACCTCGAATAGGGTCCCCGCTACCGGTGGTAATGTGCGCCGCATGAAGTGGACAAATTCTATCAATGAGAATGTCATGCGGGCATATTATCGGGCTACAGAGATGGGAACAAACCTTACTGCGTACCGTGTTCGACTAGTCTCTTTGTTTCAGGAGCTTGAACCTGCTGTCAACGTATCAGCACAACGATTGTCGGATCAAGTACGAGCTATACAGCGCTGTCATCTGCTGGATGATGCAGTACTTGAGAGGATACGCTCTGACATACGGAATAGCTTGATTATCCCTTCTTCGTCACACACTGTGGATTTGGTAGCTAATAGCACACCTCAGTTAGTATCACATACCAATGATGTTGATGAATTAGTGGAGGGTGAAGTTATATCTGTAAGTACCCAATACAATGACAGGATAAGGAGCGCTTTGGAGGATGCGATTCTAGAGTACCGGTATGTGAATTGGAATAATAGACCCCGATTGTCCCGTTTGCCCATTCATAAACGAAATTTAGCGCTTGTGGGTGCCCTGGATTCGTTATTGCCTGATTATTTAGACAATAGCGAAGATCTTGGTGATACACATTCTATTCTGTATTGTGCGG